TTTTTACTCTATGTGTATGAGTGTTGCCTGCATTTATGCATGCATAGCACATGCATGCTTGGTGCTCCAAAGGGTGTAGGATTCCCTGGAAATGAGTTACTGATGGTGTAAGTACCAAGTGAGTGCTGGGAACTGAACCCAGGTCCTCTTCAAGAACAGCATGTGCTTTTAAACCCTAAGTCACTTTTCCAGTCTAGTAAGGACTAGAAAGCTGCTGATGGAAGTTCTGCAAGTGGCTGCACCAAGGTCAGGGAGGGAGAAGCACACCAGCTCAATAAGGTGATGATTTTCCTCCCTAGAGCAATAAGGGGATGATTATTCCTCCCTAGAGCAATAAGGGGATGATTATTCCCCCCTAGAGCAATAAGGGGATGACCATTCTTCCCATCTGCTTATATGGTTTAATGAACCAGTCGTCTCTTGGCTGGTGACTGATGGGCCAAGCTGAATTAACTCTTAAGGGAGGAGTCAATCTTTGGAGTAGGTAAGAATATCCTGTCTCCACTCAGGACCAAAGGGAAGAGGAAGGAAGAAGGAGAGAGGAGAGAGGAGGGAAACAGGAGTAGGGAAGCAGGAGGAGGGAGGAATCTATTCTAAATTACTTTTAAGGCTCCTAAACATTCTTCTCTTAAGGATGGAGACGCCAAAATAACTGGGAGATGTGCTGAAATTTGATGATGGAACATTTCCAAAGCTGTTTAGTGAGGGTCAGTGTCTGGACTGGTTTCAGTCACATGTAGCCCCAGGAAGAAATGCTCATTTAGGAGAAGACGTAAGAAGGACCTGGGTGGTTGTGGAGGGGAGCTGCCCCACAGTTAGGAGCACTGGCTGCTCCTTCATGGACCCAGTTTTGGTACTCTGCACCAAAAATAAATCACTCCTACTTGTAACTGCAGTTCCAGTGTATCTGGCTCCCTCTTCTGGCCTTTGAGGGCACTGCATGCGAGTGTTGAACTTTCATACCTGCAGGTGTAACACTCACACAAAGTCCATGATACTCCCTTGGTAGGCTCCCAAGAACATGCATCTGTGTCTGCTCACTGGGCTCTTCGTCAGGCTTTTAAGTGTGGCCTCTGAGGCTTGATTCAAGAGTGGTGGACCTGGGATCTATTTTCAAATGCTTTGATAGTTGTTGGGTGTCTAGAGTCACAGCCTGGGTGTGACTGCTAAGGTCCTGGAGTGCGACCACCTGTTTTATCCTCACAGTAACATCTTTAGAGTCCCATCTTATTCTCATCAGAACCTAGGGGAACCCACCGTTATCATGGAAACCGGTGTTAGGAACAGACTCAGGAGGAACTCAAGGGCAATCTTATCAGAGTTTCAGATTAAAAACATCAGGGCATGCAAGTGGTACATCTTGGCAGCTGCTGGAAGAGGAAGGTGGGTGAGAGAAATAGAGGAATCCATGCCATTTGTAAGCACCCATGTGGTGAAAAATGAGTGGGTGAGCTTCAGAAAAAGAGAGGAACAGCTCAGAGTGTAGGGAAAGCACACCCAGCCTTTGGTCGGTATCTGAAGAACAAGAGATAGAAAGGAAGTTTTGGAAGAGTCATGATTTTCTGAATCAGGACTCAGAAGAGGAGGTGGGTCTCATGATACAGGTACTATAGTGCTTCCTTATGGAAGTTCTGCAAGCGGCTGCATGGAATTTTGAAATAAATATTATTATTATTATTATTATTATTATTATTATTATTATTATTATTATTATGTGTCTGTTTGAGTGTATGCTTACTTTGTGTATGGATGCCCACACCTTTACATAGAGGCCAGATGGTGGTCTTGGTTGTCCTCTATCATTCTCTGTCTATTCCTT